TGATGTGCATTTTTAAAACACAGAAAGAGAGGCCACAAGTGCCTTTAGAATATGTTTTATCTTGCTTTCATAAAAATATCTGCTGAGAAAATGAACCCTCTCTCTCTCTCTGTATGTGTGTATGTTTAGATTCAGATTCCCAGCACAGCCATGAAGTGATGCCTCTTCTGTATCCCCTCTTTGTCTACCTCCATCTTAACATGGTCCAAAATGGCCTGAAGAGCACAGTGGACAGCTTCTATAGTCGCTTTCATGGGATGTTCTTGCAGAATGCCAGCCAAAAAGAGATCATTGAGCAGCTACAGACCACACTAACCATGCAAGACATCCTATCCAACTTCCAGCTCCGGGCATTTCTAGACAACAAATACGTCATCCGCCTTCAAGAAGACAGCTACAACTTCCTCCTTCGCTACCTCCAGAGTGACGATAACAATGCTCTTTGCAAAGTCCTCTCCTTGCACATTCACTTAGATGTGCAGCCAGCCAAGAGGATGGACTACCAGCTTTATGGTAGTGGTGGCTCTTCACGCAGTGAGAGCAATGGCCTGGAGCCCACCGACATGCCTGCTTCCATCCTGCAAAACGAGGCCGCCTTGGACATCCTGCAGGATAGCATTAAAAGAGTCAAAGATGGACCGCCCTCGCTCACCACCATCTGTTTCTATGCGTTCTATAACACTGAACAGTTGCTGAACACTGCAGAGATCTCGCCAGATAGCAAGCTGCTTGCAGCTGGCTTTGACAATTCCTGTGTAAAGCTGTGGAGCTTGCGGTCCAAGAAGCTGAAATCTGAGCCCCATCTGGTAGACGTATCCCGAATCCACCTGGCTTGTGATATCTTGGATGAGGAGGTCAGAGTATCTTGCTATCAGTATACGTTTGGATGGAGTTGGTTTATGTTCTTATTGCAATGATTTTTTACATGAGAGATCCTCAAAGCTTGCTGTAGCCTCCAGCCAGGAAAAAAACCACACCACCTCCTTCTGCCCATCAGCTGTAACTGCTAGGTGAAAGTGATAAGAAGCAACAACTTTTGCTGGTTAAAGATTCAGGCAAGGGTTAGTCGCTATTCTTTGTTGCGCTGATTGCAATGTGACAGATCAGCCCTTTGTTGCTTCTTACCATTAGAATCATAGCTGTCAACGTTTCCCTTTTTTTAAGGGAAGTTCTCTTATTCCAAATAGGATTACTTGCAAGAAAAGGGAAAAGTTGACAGCTATGATTAGAATAAACATGTATTTACGTCTTTGATAGGAATTGTCAGGGCCTTCCTATGGACAGCTGCTTCATCCTTAATGCACGTACATTAATGCACCCTGACTTCCAAGGTGTGTAATCATGGGGTTCAAACTGCATGAGGCAAGGAGAAAACTGTATGTAAGTGCATATAAGCCTCTAATGATAGCTAATGGATGCTATAAGTGATAGGGCAGGGATAAACCACATTTTTTTGTTTCCTGCCAGCAGGTCAAAAGGTGGAGTGGCCCGGCTTTTTACCTTTGGCTTCCTATAGCCATTTGTTGTTGTTGTTGTTTTTTTAAAAAACAGTTCTCTCCCATTGCTCCCAGGCAGAGGAATGTGAACTGTGGCCCATTTGATACCTTGGCTTAATGCAGATTGTGAACCCCTTGTGTATGCTTTAATTACCGTTTTCTCCAACTGCTGCTGTCCTACAGTTTCTCCTCCCTAAATCCAGAGATTCACTGTGCAATTGATGTAGCACTTGGATTTTCAAAGCATAGGAGTCTCCAATTCTATGGAAGGGGAAAGTGTGGGACAGCCGTAGTTTGGAGGAGACCACAAAGGGCAAGTCAATTCTACTTACTGTAGATGCATTGCAGTTAATAGACCTATGTTGGCAGTGTCCATTAATTTCAGTGGTTCTGCTCTGAGGATGACTAGCTTTGGGTACAACCCCCAATTTTCCTCCCTTCTTGGAACATGTCAGCAGAATAGAAGGGCTTTGGATCCTATTATTATTATTAATAATAATAATAATAATAATAATAATAATAATAATAATAACAATAATAATTTATTTATACCCTGCCAATCTGATTGGGTTTCCCCATCCGCTCTGGGTGGCTATAGGTTCACATCTTCTACCAGCATGTCTGTGTGCTGTTTCAACATTTAAAACAAACGGGTTGGGGGGGGCTGCTTAATGCAAGCAGAGGTAGGAGGCTTGTTCAATTAGATTTCTCTCTCCAAGAGTAGTTCCCCCAGTCCACTGCTGGAGTCAAAAATCTATGATTCTGTGGCCCCTGAGAAACCCTCCCAAATATTATATGCTACTGGGCTTCCAGTTGGTATAACGATGTGTTCATATTCTGTAGTACAGTACTGGCAACCCCCAATTAGCACAGGGATTGCATTCCAAGTCATCATGTGCAATAGCGGAGCACGCATAAGTCTGCTACACCCCACTCCATCCTCTTTTCTGGCCACTTCCTGGTCGCTGTGATGCGTTTCTGCACAGTTGTTTGCACTGAAGAAAGTTGTTTTTGCAACCTAGTTTGAATAGGGATTTTGTGTGTGTGTGTGTGAGAGAGAGAGAGAGACAGACAGACAGACAGACAGACAGACAGATTTTTTCCTTTTGATCAGTAGGGAGTACATTTCTAAAATTATAATTAGAATGCAGTGACTGCAGTCAAGTTAAGACTTTACCATTTTTAACAGTTTTATCATCTTGCACCTTTCTAATTTTTAAATGATACAGCATTATAAAATAACAAACAATAGTATTATAAATTTAAACCATTAACTCTAAAGCTAAGAAAAATAACTGGGCCACAGTAACTATAGAAGACAGTTACACTCAGTGTTTGGTGATAAGTAGTTTTTCCACCAGTTGTACAGTATCTGCTGTTTTGAAAAATCACTGAAAGTAAAGGGATATTTTATTTCACTCTGACTGCTGCAAAGCTTTGGATAGCTGGTGCTTTCACTACTTACAAATCTTATTCTGAAAAGATGAAACTGCAGAAACATTAAGTAAATAACATTTTTCTGCCATAGTATTTCCAGCCTGAATCTACAGGCAAAGATACGGGATTCAAACCTATAGCCATTTTGAATGTAATTTAATGCCTATTCATCCAGCTGCTAATTTAATCCAGAAGCAGAATATTAGTTGCTTACTGCTTTTTGTACACAGTTCTCAGTGAATACCAGCTGCAGCTTTTGTGGATGGAGTAAGAAGGCTGCAGCAATTGGAGATGTCTCTTAGAAAAGTTTTAAAAAACATTTTTAGAGCAACAGCGCTGGTGGTAAAACTACTATAACCACTGATTTTAGTTGCTGCTGCAGTTGTTCACGGGTTTGGGGACCCCATTAATACCTAAAGGGAGGCTTCAGATCCTAGACTGCTTGTATAATAAGCAGGACTGCAAGCCTTCCATTGTCCATTAAAATATTAATTGGGTCTTATCTGGTCCTGTTCCTTCTTTTCTGCAGACTGGGAACAGTGTAGAGCAATCCCAGAAAATTTGCCACTTTTAGTTAGTTTTGTTATAAAAGCAACTACAGTGGTGCCTCGCAAGACGAAATTAATTCGTTCTGCGAGTTTTTTCGTCTTGCGATTTTTTCGTCTTGCGAAGCACGGTGTCGGAAAAGTTTTGGAAAAGCTTCAAAAATCACCAAAGTCTTCAAAAAACCTCAAAAAAGGCTACCACACCGCGTGCTATGAGTTGCTCCTCGAAGTCAAGTCGCAACTGTATTAACGGTTTTAAGAAAAAGGAAACAAACTTGCAAGACGTTTCTGTCTTGCAAAGCAAGCCCATAGGGAAAATCGTCTTGCGAAGCAACTCAAAAAACCAAAAACCCTTTCGTCTTGCGAGTTTTCCGTCTTGCGAGGCATTCGTCTTGCGAGGTACCACTGTACTAAGATGGTGGGTGGGTCGTGGCAGAGTTGGTAGGGACCAGCAGCCAATGGTTCACAGAGTGGCACCAGTCTACAATCCACCAATTTTAGTGGCACTGATTTGCACTGCTGTTAATTTTAACTGGTATCTTTTGCCGTCTATACCATCTTGCAGTAAGTTTGCCCTTCATTACTTGCAATAGAATATTTACCATCTTGGGTAAATAGGTAGTCCTAAACATCTAAATATTGCAATTCCAATTTGTTTCCTATTCTATAGTTTGCTGCTGCCCTTAAAGCTGGTGAAGTCTTGGGGGTCCCAGAAATTTTCCATCTGTTGACTTGTATGTTCTTATTGCTGCTCTTGAGTGTAGATCTCAAATGTTCACCAATATGTCCTCTGAACAGATTTGACTTCTTTATTCCTCCTTGCAGGGTGAAGATGACGATAATAACGTGGGAACAGAAATGAAGATACTAAGAGGGCACTGCGGACCAGTGTATAGCACAAGGTTCCTGTCGGACAGTTCAGGACTGCTGTCATGTTCCGAAGACACATCCATCCGATACTGGGACCTTGGATGTTTCACAAACACTGTGTTGTACCAAGGGCACGCCTACCCTGTGTGGGATCTGGACATTAGTCCTTGTAGCTTGTACTTTGCCAGCGGCTCCCATGACCGCACAGGAAGACTCTGGTCATTTGATCGGACGTACCCACTGAGGATATATGCAGGCCATTTGGCAGACGTGGACTGCATTAAGTTTCACCCCAATTCTAACTACTTGGCAACAGGATCCACAGATAAAACAGTGCGTCTCTGGAGCACACAGCAAGGAAACACAGTGCGTTTGTTTACAGGTCACCGGGGTCCTGTGTTGTCGCTTGCGTTTTCTCCAAATGGTAAGTATTTGGCTTCAGCAGGTGAAGACCAGCGGTTAAAGCTGTGGGACCTGGCATCTGGCACGCTTTACAAAGAACTAAGAGGGCACACGGATAATATCACCAGCCTTACTTTCAGTCCGGACAGTAGCTTGATTGCTTCTGCATCAATGGATAATTCTGTTCGGGTTTGGGATATTCGAAACACTTACTGCAATGCTCCCGTCGATGGTTCTTCCAGTGAACTGGTTGGTGTATATACCGGACAGATAAATAATGTACTGAGTGTACAGTTCATGGCCTGTAACCTCCTTTTAGTGACTGGAATTGCACAAGAGAATCAGGAACATTAACCTTTTTAAAAAAAGAAAAAGAAAAAAAATGGGTGTGTTGTTGAAATCCAGAGTCTATTATAAACTAAGATTATATATAATTGACTGTGAAAAAAAATGTTTTCTTTCCCATTGGTGGACATGTCCAGAATGATGGAAATACTGTACTTGAAGATGTCCTGTATTGTTGCAAAAAAAAAAAAAAAGATAGGAAAGGGAGAACAACAGGAGAACTTCACTGCAAGGGCAGGAAGCTATTGGGGGTGGGTGGGAAGCAGCTACACATAATATTTTTCTGAAGGGATAGCCAAAACTCAGTCCAAGCAACTCAGATCATTGACTTGAATGTGTTGCAATTAATGGGCATGTCCTGCTTAACTGTTACCGGGAGTTTATATGTCTGTCTTTTAGCTATTCAGCTCCACCTACTTACTTCCCCACCGAAGTTTCTGTGGCACAAGAATCTTTACCGTCATCTTGGAAAGAAAAATGTATTTTGTTATAGGGTTGCTCCCAAACATAAGTAACATTAAAATAATGTTTAAAATAACATTGAGGCAGGCTTCCAGCTTGCTAATATAAAAGGCATAGTATTTTTATTTTTATCGTTGAATTATAAAAACGTGATTTGAATGTGACAGTGGCTGCAAAAAGATGCAATTTGGATTTGGTATCTTCCATTAGATATAATGTTTTTAGCTCTTTCTTGATCAGAAATTTGTGGGTTTCCCCCCCAAATCTGGTTGCACTGTGATGGTGATGCAGAATACTAGATGGCTGGGGTGATAACTACTAGCTTGCCTTCCGAAAAGAACTAGCAAAATATGGCTGACTTTATAGTAGCATGGTTGGACTCCTAATAGAAAGGGACACATTTCACCTCACCAAAAATACTTTCTGCAGATAAATATGGGCAAAGGTGTGCAGACGATGTTGAAAAAAATAGTATTACTAAATTATTAATTGTGAGAAGATGCAGCTTTGCCAACTTCCAATGTTTTCCACTGATTACTGAACTATTAAGTTGTTTCATGAAGTTTTCATACAAGTGTGTGAGCATGCAAAACCTGGGGTTGGAGAAAGCATACTCTTAAATTTTGTCATTCTAAGAAGACTGAATATTTCTGCTTTCCGGAAAGAGATTTTGTATTTTTGTTTTTTCTATTAAAGCATTTAGTTTAAAGAGGTTTAGTATCTCTGTGTGGAACTGGATGGGCTTTAGACTTCCATAAACAGATAAAAAGTTTTTACCTTGTGGGTTGCACCTGTCTGCTGCATGAGCCGGGCAGGTGAGCTCTCTTGCAGGTGCATGATACTGATGTTCTCCGTCCCCTGGGTTTTTACAGAAGCAGTGTCTGTCTACAGGCTGAAGCATAATTTAAATAGCAGGTAAGTGCTACTCTTAACACATGAATGTGTTAGAGCCAGACATTCAGTTCCCTTTCTTAGAATGTTAAAACCAAGTTCTCAGTGGACACCAAAAAAATAGGTACTTGAGTTAAAATTTCAGCCTAGAGTGTTTCTGTTCAAAATCAAATTTTGATCAAATGGTCTACATTTATTGTATTTTCTTATATAAACATTTATGTACCACCTTTCTAGTGCCTCTGCCCTACTCAGGGCAGTTTACAAGAATTTACAATTGCAGGGCCATGGGGGGGGGAATACTTACTGTTAAAATGTGGGGGGAAACCAGAAGTGGAAACCTGATATAACACAACCTTTTAACTTGATGGTGGGCAAACACACAGGCCTAATCCAAGCTGCAGCCCCTCTATTTCCAGGCACACCCACCCCACTTGGTTAGAGGAGCAGTCTTCCTTTTCATGGCACATGGAATGGGGAGGTCAAGAGTGCCATAGCAGGGATAAAAATTACCCAGGTTTCAACCACAGCAGCTCACCCAGCTCTTAACAGTAAGGTTGGTTAGCAGTATGTTGGTGTTTGCTTTCCTGTTTGGCACTGAGAAGCAAGCCGATTCAAATCTTGCAAGCCGCTAAAAAGGTAAAGGTAAAGGTACCCCTGCCCATACGAGCCAGTCTTGACAGACTCTGGGGTTGTGCGCCCATCTCACTCTAGAGGCCGGGGGCCAGCGCTGTCCGGAGACACTTCTGGGTCACGTGGCCAGCGTGACAAGCTGCATCTGGCGAGCCAGCGCAGCACACGGAACGCCGTTTACCTTCCCGCTGGTAAGCGGTCCCTATTTATCTACTTGCACCCGGGGGTGCTTTCGAACTGCTAGGTTGGCAGGCGCTGGGACCGAGCAGCAGGAGCGCACCCCCGCCGCGGGGATTCGAACCGCCGACCTTTCAATCAGCAAGCCCTAGGCGCTGAGGCTGTTACCCACAGCGCCACCCGCGTCCCCTGCAAGCCGCTACTAACGTTTAAAAAATAATTTCTTTGGTTGCTGGCTTTAAGAAAAGAAACAACAATATAAATTGCATCACATTATTCCTAACTTCTAATAGAAGGGATCATGCAAAAGTTACTCGGTTGTATCCAACTGCTGCTTCTCTAACAGGAGGCTTCTGTCAACAGAAAGGGGAGGGATGCCATCTTCAGCAATGCCCTCCCTCATCAGATCCCTACAACCCCCTGTAAAGTTAGACTACTGTTTTGTGACATTTCCAAATTAAGTTAAAATATTTTCAGTACAATACAAATCTGTATTACGGTCATAGACCAGCATAAAAGGGTGGAATACAGTCATTTAAAATCTGGAAAGCGTTTTGGAAAGCTAAAAGGTATTAAAACAGAAGGTAAATATAAAAATCTCTTAAGAATTTAAAAGAGTCTAAAAGAAGGAATAGGAGCATTGGGTGGGTGTGGAGGAGCATAAAAGGTTGATATATAAAAGACAATCTACAGAACATTCTGATATGTTCATTAAATCTGGTTTGTGGCACAGGTCATCCTCCGACAAATTCTGAGCGCTGCTGTGCAACATCATATGTTGTAGCAAGACTGGTATCTGAGAGCAGCAGGGAGGTACAGGATTGCCCTGTGTGCCCTGGGTACTTACGAAGTAGTGGGGAAATCAGGCTAATACGAATGTCTCTGTAACGCAGGCACTGGAGAAGGACATGCTCTATTGCAGGCATAGGCAAACTCGGCCCTCCAGATGGTTTGAGACTACAATTCCCATCATCCCTGACCACTGGTCCTGTTAACTAGGGGTCATGGGAGTTGTAGTCCCAAAACATCTGGAGGGCCAGGGTTGCCTATGCCTGCTCTACCATTTCTATTTGTCCCGAGTCACAGGGGCATTGTCTCTCTGGGTAGTCAATCTTGTATTGACCTAATGATAAAGTACTGTATTTTTCCATGTATAAGACTATATTTCCCCCAAAAATTTTAAGTTTAAAATTGGGGGTCGTCTTATACACGGAATGTTTAAAATGTTTATTTCTTAATTTTGGGCTCAAAAAATAGGGGCCGTCTTATACATGGGGGCATCTTATACACGGAAAAATACTGTATTTTCTTCTCCACCCACCTCTCTCTCACACACAAATATTATATGTTCGTCACATTCAAGATATACCTTTTTTGGATATTGAGCTTCATGTTCTGTTTCTTGGAGAAAACATTCTCAAGCTATTTAGGGCCTAATTTGACCCCGTTGCAGCTGGGTTGCTAATACTATTTTTTTAAAAGGCACATAAAATGGCTGCCATTGTATTGGGTGTCACATTGCTTGTACTGAGCCAAGCTCTAAAACTGTACTATTACGGAACTCCTGTGTGATGGTGTCATTAAATGCATAAATAATCTCTGCCAGGGTCTGTCCCACCAGACCACTCTTCAGCTGCAGTTAAAGAAATGTTTTTGGATAGAAGCCACACATAGTAGGAATGGCTGTCAGCTTACTCACCAACTAATAGCCCTCCAGGTACAGAAACTCTTCAGTAGTTGAGGTTGAACATATTTATACTGATAAGAAATGTTTAAGCCAAGTCTCTATGCCAATTATGATTTCCCGTCACGCTGATCACCTCTTTTGAGTAGAGTTCTACATGCATATCCCTTGGTTGCATGCGAAGATTTGTGGAGCAAGGTAAGCATTTTTCAATAGGCTTTGTAGGTAGGAAATTGATTTCCTTTCCCTTTTAGTTATCACATGTAAAAAATTATGTAGTGGTTGATCCATTAGGAAAACACCTGGCATTTTCAGGTGCTGAACAGTTTGTGGTCTACCTAAGACTTTCAAGGAAAAGAAGAAAGCAATTCTAAGCTAAGGGGCTTTATAACTGTTCTTAAATCTGTACAGTGGTACCTTGGGTTACATACGCTTCAGGTTACATACGCTTCAGGTTACAGACTCCGCTAACCCAGAAATAGTGCTTCAGGTTAGGAACTTTGCTTCAGGATGAGAACAGAAATCATGCTCTGGTGGTGCGGCGGCAGCTAAAGTGGTGCTTCAGGTTAAGAACAGTTTCAGGTTAAGTACAGACCTCTGGAACGAATTAAGTACTTAACCCGAGGAACCACTGTATAACGTACTATGCTATATACATACACAAGTTAACGCCTTGCAAAATCTGCTGTTGTAGCTGCCATAGGTTGACAGTTGCACAATTTTGTTACCTTCGTACCAATTTACAACAACCAAGCCTTGGGACCAAACTCCATTCAATACTATGTAAGTCATGCATCTTTGCATAATCGTTTTAATTTATTGTAGAGTTTTTATTTTTAAAAAAACACACTAGAATTTTTAATTGCAATATTGGGGGGGGGTGTTGGTGTCCTTACGGTAGATTGAAAGTAGGGTTATTAGCCAACCATAATTTTACAGCCACTGCCAAGTCTTTGCTATCTAGTTTTCCTGATTAGAAGGTGCAACACACACCCCAAAACAGAAAGTCAAGCTGTTAATTGCAAATGTGCTTTTATAGGGCTTGATTTATTATGCATGTTGCATACTGAGTTATGCAACTGTGCTTTCAGAATGACAGTATGTGCTGTTACAACTGATAATACAAAAGCCAAGCCAATCTTCCTGGCTTCCCAAAGCATACATTCACCTTCAGGAGAATGTCCTCTATGACACTGGTCTTCATCTGGTGAGTCAGAACACATTAGTGGGTTGCAGATTGACCTAAGGTGGGTTGCAACTGGGGCCCTACCACTGTACAAATATATGGGTCTCAAGTGGGTCGTGGATCCGAAAAGGTTGAAGATACCTGCTTTGTTTGCTTTGGAAGCAAGACTCTGTCAAGGGTGACCCCAAGCGTATTGTGGCATGCAAACCTCTAGTTCCTTCATCTCTGCCCACATTGGCTATTATTGGCATGGGGGCATCATGCTTGAACATGTCTTTTGTCCAAACATAATTTTGGCACTACTCTTAAGATGGAAGATTATGACAGTGATTTGTTGGCACATATAAATTCTGATGCAGCAAAGCAAATTAGCAGGATAACGTGTTTTTTAACACCCCTTTAAAAAAATGATGGACACAACTGAGTAGCCCCCTGATGGGCTTCATAAATGGGGTGTTGCCAGTGCTTTTTCCTGGGGGGATGCAGGGGTACGCATACCCCTAAACATTTTGTGAATCTTTGTACTTTTGTCCATTTACTGTATTTATGTTTCCTGATCTGAACTATAAAATGGTGGTTTTCTTGAGTCAAAATGAGAGTACCCCTAAACATTTTTTTAGAAAAAAGCACTGGTTGTTGCTACATGATTCTCTTCACAAAGGAGCATGTCAGTAGGACCTCTGTTTTGAAAGACCTGTTCTCCTTGGAGTAAAACTCTATATATGCTCAGAAGACAAACAGCATATTGAAATAATTTACAGAGTCCAGAAAATATCCTTAAAACCATAGAAGGGAAAAACTGCTAGAATTGTATTCAAAGATATATCTCAATTATAATAGACTGGCGGGGGATTTTTAATCAGTGGAGCCTAATCTAGTGCTTTCTTCCACAGGCCTTACTCTTTATTACTATGATATTGGCAATATTTCAGAAAGAAAAGGGAAATGTGCCAGATTTTTGGTTTGTTCCTTCCTGTCCAGATGCTTTGAATTAAGACCTCCCATTTCCAGCTTCAACAGGGTTGTGATTTCTTTATTTGAATTATCAGTTGGCTGCATCTTACTCTTCCAAAGGGGGAAAGCACACACAAAAATTCACTAACAAGGGGTAAAGGTTCTAAGAGCATTTCTGTTTCCTGATTCTACTTGAATGAATTTTCCATGGATGGAATGAGAGTGGTGCAGGCATACAGAGGAACATATATAAAATTCATAGAAAACAGGCAGGATTACAAGTGCACCTTTGCTGCAGTGTTTTGAAACAATCATGCCTTCTGCCTCCCCCCACAAAAAAATGGACAATGCTGCTTAACACTAGTATTTATCAGAAATAAATAATGGTGCATGCAAGGAATGCAATCTTTTTTTATTTTTATATAAAGTTAGACTCTGTGGTTCTCTATTTATCTTTGAAAATTAATTATTGTCTTCGCTACAATGAACCCAGTTTATACACTGGAACTCCTTTCTTATCCTAATAGCACCAAGACATAGCCTTAGAAATGTTTGTTCTGGGAACTTGCTGGTAGAGATCAGAGAAGACTGAGAGTTTTAGAAAGGAGGGGCTAGCATAAAACAGAGGCTGTATAAAATCTTCAAAATATGACAGCCCAGCTGTCTCGAACAGAGCGGCCATTTAGTTAGCATCCTGTTTCTAACAGTAACTAGACAGATGTTTCTGAAAAGTTCACAAAAGCAGGGCATGAAGGTTAACTTGAGCCTGCTGTATGCTTCTCTTTAATTGATTTCCATCTTTTAAATTGCCTAAGGGCTGGCTGGAACTGAGGAGTTGTACCGTAGTCCAAAACATCTGGAGGGGACCAGGTTGGTGAAACCTGCCCAAGGTTTTAGGTTCAGAAGTAGGCCCATTTCATCCTTTGACAGGAGGCTCTTGTACTCTGAGGGCTGCAATCCTCTGCATACCTTGCTTCCCAATAAACATGGATAAAAATGGACTGTCAAAATGGCAATTAAATTTCTGTGACTCGCCAACCTTAAGTACTGAACTGAGGAAGAACTGAATAAGGGCCTGGATAAGGAACTGAGGAAGAACTGAATAAGGGCCTGGATAAGGAACTGAGGAAGAACTGAATAAGGGCATGGATAAGAAGAGACTGAGAGGAGATATGATAGCCATCTTCAAATATCTAAAGGAAGATGGAGCAAGCTTGTTATCTCCTGCTCTAGAGTTTAGGACCCGAACCAATGGCTTCAGGTGACAAGAAAGGAGATTCTGACTAAACATCAGAAAGAATTTTATGACTGTAAGAGCTGTTTGACAGTGGAACCGACTCCCCCAGGTGGTGATACTCTCCTTCCTTGGAGGTGTTTAAGTAGGGGTTGGATGGGCATCTGTCGTGGATGCTTTAGTTTAGATTCCTGCATTGCAGGGGGTTGGACTACAAGGCCCTCAGGGTCCCTTCCAACTTTACAATTCTATGAATCTTCTGTATTGATCTGAATTAATCAGCCAGTTCTTAGGTTGCAGGCATCGGAACACTAAACAAGTTACATACAGTGGTACCTCAGTTCTTGAACGCCAGTAGTAGTGGTTGGCCAGGGACGCGGACTTATAAAAAATATTGGGGGGGCCCGGGAAAGCTCATGAATAATAAATAAGCTCATGAATATGCAAATAAAGTGGCGCCGCCTCCTCGTGAGCGAATAGGGGAGAGCGTGCTGCGCCTATTAATCAGCTCCAAAGGAAATTGGGTGGAGCTTTTGCTCGGGAGGGAGGGCAGGAGGCATGCAGCCCGCCCCTCCCTGTGCATTTTGGGCTGGGGGAGGGGCGGCGATGGCGCTCTGCTGGAGGGGCGCCGGAGATTATTGGGGGGGTGGAGCCCCCCCAAACGAATTTTTGAGGGGGCTCGGGCCCCCTCAAGCCCCATGGAGTCGGCGCCTATGTGGTTGGCCCAAGATCATCACCCAGTGAGCCATATGGCTGAGTTGAAGATCTGAACCAAAATAACAGGACATTCCTAAAAAGGAACCTCACCTTAGACACAGACTTACCTGGAAGTTGTACACAGTGACTGGAAACTCCTTGGCTTTTACAACCCATGTATGCTTACCCGGTTCACTGGAAAGTAAAGATAAGAACACAAAATACATAATAAAAACAAGAAAAAAATCGCAAACCAATAAACCCTCCTACCCTCCTGCTGTGTAAAAAACAACAACCGTGCAGATCAGTTTTATTCCCTGGACTATAAGTGTAAATAGGCTTGCAGCCACAAGTCCAAAACCTGGTTTAGTGTGGTTCCGGGGAGAGCAGCACCCTGCACATGTTCCAATAAGCTTTTTTTGCGGGGGGGGCACTTAGCGTGTTTCAGGAACCTTAACTGAAAACCTGGCAGAGTGATAGGGTGTTGTTGTTGTTTTCCCGTTTTCGTTATCAGCGTGGTGATCATGGGGCGCAGGAGGCGGGCTTCTCAGGGAGGCTCCCCGTCCTCCTGGCACAGCCTGGACGAGCAGCGGCGGCGGCCTCTACGCCCTGGTCCGGGCCGCGAGCGGTAGAGGGCGCCGCCGGACGCCGCGCTCGCTCGGGCGGGTCGCTTCTGCCGGCTGGGGATGGTGGGAGGCCGCCTCAGCTGAGAGCCTTATCAGCGCCCAGCAGAAGCAGGAGGGGCCGGGCTGGGCCCCGTTTAGGCGGGCCGCGCTCTATGGGGCAGCGCCGGCGGCGCAGCCTGTGAGGAGGCGCTGCTTTGCTCTCTCCCGCCGGGCGCCGCAGCAAGGAAGAAGCAGCAGCAAGCGGCCGCCACCTCCGCGCGGCCACCGGCCATTTGCTCCATGGCAGGCTTCCTTCCCCGCCTCCCTCTGCTGCTGCTGTGGCGCCAGCAGCGGCGCCTGCATTGCTGGCCCTGGACTCCGGCTCCTCTCAGAGGCGCAGCGGCGGCCGGTGGCGGTGGCGGGTGGGCCGCGTCGCCCTCGGCGGGCAGGTGGCGGGACCCTGCTGTTCCTGCGCTCGGCTCCCTGCGCTCCGCTCCCCGCTCCGCCGCGTCCTCGTGGGCGGCCTCGGCGGGGACCTCACGGAAGAAGGCGAGCGACCACCCGGGAGCCGCGCTGCCCCCGGCTGCGGCCCGCCGCTGAGGTCTCGGACGCCAAGAGGCTCCTGGCCTTGGCATATCCCGAGCGCTGGAGACTGACAGGTACCTCCTGCTCCTCTGCCGCCCCGGAACGTCTCCCTGCTCGCCTCCCGGAGGGCTCTGGGGAGCCAAGGGCGCTCCGTGCTACTACCATGCCCTGCCAGGCTTCGTTGGCTTTTCTCTCTGTTTTCTCTTTTTCTCCCACTTCATTCGCCTCCACCCACTAAATGGCTGAGAGTTGAGAAAATGCTTTCCCCCCCCCATGAGGTCGTTTTCTTCTACCCCCTGGTTGCACCTTTGCTCCACCCCACAAATGCCCACTATAAAGAACTGACTCTATGCAGCTTTTTATCTCTCCCAAACGCCGGACTTCTGGAGCTTAATCTTTCTTTCCCCACTCCACAGGTCCTACAGTTTTGTTCTCTTTCCCTTTCTGACACATCCACAAGGATGTGGTGGTAAATTTTGACGTGCAGGAGCTCATCGTGACTGCCCCTTTAGCCATGCACCCAGGGAGAGTCCAGAAATGCAGGAAGCTGGGTCGATCCACTTCTATATTAGCTGGCCATCCTACAACAGTGAGCTGTCCTCATTCTCTTTCTTCCACCATGGCTGCATACGCATGATGCCTTTAGAGCGCATGCAAAGCACGGTCTGTTCCTCAAAGGTTCCAGATGCTGTAGTTTGGGACGCTTTGCAAAGGGAGGCGGGGAACTCTGTGAGGGGTAAACTACAGTGCTCAGTATTCCTTTAGGGAAAGAATGTGTTCTGAAGATGCTTTAAAAGTATAGCGTGCCACGGGATGAACATCTGAATACAGTACTGCATTACTTTTAGTGGAACATACTTCTGTGTGTCCATATTCTGTTACAAGTCGGGATGCATAAGTGCATGCTACAAAAATTGGATCAATGCAGAAGTTTTGCCATGCATTACAGGTGGGCAATGTACTATGCAATATGCTGTAGGAAGGCAGAGAATGCCGGCCCTGTTGTCTAGGCAGCGACATTGTATTGCCTCTCCCCACCTTCAGTGTGAGCAGCACTGGATTTAGGGTGGTGCGGGCGGTTCCCCAGCACAGGGTGCCAAGCCGAGGAGGAACAATAGCAGCAGCAGCAGCAGCAACAACAACAACAACAACCTATATTTATACGGGTACCTACTCAAAGTTGAGGGGGCGCAAAATGTTGTCCTTGCTCAGGGTGCCATATTACCAAAGTCTGGCCATGAGTGTCAGTACAACATAATATTGTGTAACCTGAGTGATTATATCGTGCATGTTGTTACATGTTATCCTGGATTGGCTGTGGTCCATCAGGGTTAACTATGAGGAAACCCTTTCAAAGGCCACTTTATCTTAAATTATATCTGCTGTACAGATTCCCTTTAAATTAGGCACTGTGAAATACACCTGATATTAAGCTGATTTCTCATATAAGTATTTCACAAAGTATCCATGTTTATTGTGGACAGAATGCTTCTGAGTACCAGTTTCTGGAAACTCCAGGAGATGGGAGGGCTCTTGTGCTCAGGTTTCCCACAGGCATTTGGTTGGCTACTGTGAGGACAGGATGCTAGATTAGATGAGCAGTTGGTCTGAATTCTCCAGTTAGACTGCTAAAATATAAGAAGCTGAAGTATTTTATAAAATGTTAATTTTATAATCCTTGCATCATTTCCCCCCATTTATTAAATGGCTTATATTTCCCCCTAGCTGCTGTTGGCTTTCTGACAGTTTCCAGTGTCATCACAATGTCTGCCCCATTTTTCTTGGGGAAAGTAATTGATGTCATCTACACAAATCCCACTGGTGAACTTGCTGACAACCTAACCAACCTCTGTGCCTTGCTGAGTGGAATATTTTTATGTGGTGCTGCTGCCAATGCAATCCGTGTCTACCTCATGCAGATTGCAGGTAATGGGAATGAATACCTAAAATGATCTTCTGGTAAATGGAACAAGTGGCTGAAAGAAACCCCAGACTAATAGTTGCATATTTAAAAGCCAATGGTTCTTCCTATATGCACACACACAAGCACACCATTCTGTCCAAGCACATTTTCTTCTCATTATACAAGATCTGTTGCAAAATGACTTGCTATTAGTGAAGTTGCTAATTTGTTTTTTATATGTGAAATCTTTCCAGTGAATTGTCATCCTTCTTGACCCTCCTAGGACAAAGAATTGTGAAACGGCTGAGAGCAACAATGTTTTCCTCTCTCTTGAAACAAGAAGTAGCTTTTTTTGACAAAACCCGCACTGGAGAGCTGATTAATCGCTTATCTTCAGACACTGCACTCTTGGGTCGTTCAGTCACCGAAAACCTTTCTGATGGGCTAAGAGCTGGTGCTCAGGCTTCAGTTGCGGTTGGGATGATGGTATGTGCCTCTTGTTTCTTTCTCTGTCTCTCTGTTTATTTCTCTGTCTCTCTGTGTGTGTATTCTGCCGGCTCAGAGTGTTTAGGATGAGGTTGCAAAGATCAGGAGTCCACCTGTGAAGCTGTTTTGTTTGATACAGGACACATATACTGTACTAAGAATGCCTTTAAATATATCTGGTGATATACCGTATTTTTTGTTTGTTAGGTAATTCTACCTTCTATTGTGACTTGTGATGCAAATGGATCATGCAACTTGGGTGGGGTTTGAGTCATTTGCCTGTAGTGAGTGATAACAGTGCAGTACAGCTCCAAATGTATCCCTGAACAGCAGGGATTGAAATACCAGTATTTCCCTTCAGTTGTTCCCAATCTTGCTTGTGAATAATCTATATTTCTTTTTGGAGTGAACAGAATTCATTCATTGATGTAGTAGAGAGCAATGAAATTTTAAAAAAGCAAAATGTTAAAAGGAAATCTCATTGTGTTAACATGTCTTTAATTTATAGATCTAGCAGAGTCTATTTAATTGTACTAAAATGTTGATTCTTTTCCTTCTAGTTTTTTGTGTCTCCCAAACTTGCCACGTTTGTTCTGAGTGTCGTGCCACCTCTGGCTTTTGTGGCTGTTATTTACGGAAGATATTTACGAAAACTGACTAGAATGACACAGGATTCCCTTGCAGAATCAACACAGGTCAGTTACGACATGTTAAAATAAAAATACTGAAAGTTAGTGTTGAGGTTATATCACTCTGAACTTTGCCATTATTCAGCCATTTCCCACTAGTTCTCAGCTGTCTCCTGATAAAGGTTCAGTTAAGGAAAATGAGGTAACATCAGGCACGGATTGTGGAAGATGAAGCAACAGGGATGTTGCAAGCTTTCTATTCCCCTTTTCAACTGAGAGTGAAGTCCTTTTTTCTTATTATGTGACTGTTGTATACCATAATGAAATATACTCTAAGTCGAGAGTATATTTCATTGTGGTATACAACAGTTTTCTATGTAACTTTTCTTTGTAGGTGTCATGGTAGGGTTTGTATATATTGTCTCTTAACAACAAGGTTAAGCAAATGAAGGCCTGCATCAACATTTTGTGTGGATGGATCTGCACTGAGCTTGTGTTGTTGGCCTGTTTCAGATGCCATGTTAAACTATAGTTGAAAATAAAGGATGGCTTAATAAGAACAAGCAGCATGCTGGTAAATACTGCTCAGAAGTGCCTGCTTGGCTCATTTGACACCTATACTTGTGGCTTGTTTGGAGAGAAACTATCAGTGCTGGTTCACACATAATGCAAAACCAGCCTCTGGTTTGCTTCCCTCCTGGGATGGCAAAGACAGAAGCAGGGGAGGAGCAAAGCAGACACTATTGAGCAGGGGGCATCAGCTCACTGCTTCTTCTTGTGAACCTATTTTAAACTATAGTTTAATATGAACTAGGCCAATGTATAACTGCCCTCTGTGGCCTGTGCTACAGTGCTTTTCCCCAAGCCCCATATGGTACTGGGGCTTAGCCTTAGATCATGTTCCAGCTCCCTTTTACAGGAACACTGTACTTAAAAGCAATTAGAGCAATGGTTCCCAACCTTATTTTGGCCATGCCCCACTTAAGCATCTCTAAAATCCTGATGCTCCCCTCCCCCTGTGACATATAATTATTCTTATTCAAAAAGTGAACTCCTATTCACGTGGAGGAAGCCTAAAAGGCCATTAACTGTTAATAACTCATTCTCGAATTCCCCCCTTAAAAATCAAATTGCCACCATGTAGGAACCACGGAATTAGAGGGATCACTATTATTTTGGTTTGGGGCACATGAAATTCAAGCCTCCTGGTTTATATCTATATATATTTTAAATGTTAACTGCAGTTAGCAGAAGAACGGATTGGAAATTTGAGAACAGTTCGAGCTTTTGGGCAAGAATTGAAAGAAATGGAGAAATACAGGAGCAAAGTTGACCATGTGTTACAGTTAGCCAAAAAGGAAGCGTTAGCTCGAGCAGGATTCTTTGGAGCAGTAAGTATATGAAGAAGGTGAGGAATCCACAATGTTTCTTTAACGTCTCTGGGTTTCTCTTGAATATTTACACTGCTACTTTGATATAGGCACCTTCATTCTCGGATTTTTCAT